AAACACCCGCGCCGTGTTATGATTTTGAAACGTGCAGTGCTCATGTTTATTCAACGAAGTCAAACGGCACAAATAAATCAATGTATGGGAAACTGGTAATGTATATCGAAATATCGGAAATGTGTTTAAAAATCATATCACCGTTATTGAAAAAAATTATATCGCGATACATATTGATATTGAATTATTGTCCAGCCCTAACTGATATATTAACACTATAATGAAATATACGGTTCTAAGTTATAAAATATACAGGGATCAGTATGCCATCTCATGATACCTGAAACACTGTATCAGTTTTTTTTTATATAATGGCAAATTTTTGGCAACCATATCTGCTGTAAATTTAACAGGATATTTTTTTACAGGAAGGAGTTGAAGCAAAATGTTTCATTTAATAACTGAACATACACTCTACAATTATTTAGACCGTCAAACTGACAATCAGCTCGATTTCAGTTTTATTATTAACTAATATAGGCCTATAGAGCTATAGGCGTATGGTAAGACAAAACATTTTTTTATGAAAATTTATTTTCATCCCCTACATGTTTCAATCCTTCAAAGCTCTCACTGTAGAGAAAAAAAGCCTTTGGAGGGCATAGAACACAACACACCTTTAGTTTTCTTGCCTACAACAACAACATTTTTTATTATTTTCTAAGATACACCAAAGAAAGGTGACTATATGCATTGGACATGTTTGATGCTACTGAGCTTTGAACAATCCAGTCAGATCGGGAACTGAGATAAAATGCTAATACGTGACAGAGAGTCCTTAGATCTCATTCCCCGCAGGTCCTGTTTTTGTATTTTACTAGAGGCCAACACTCTTGTAGTGCGTGCATGTATTTATATACGCATCTGCGTGAGTGTGTGTGCGCTTGTCTTGTGATTGTGTTCATGAGTGAGTCTGTTGGGCGCGTACGGCTGCGTGCAGGATTATTGCGCGCTGGAAACAGAAGCGAGACTAAATTTGCACTAAGCTGAGGAGCCTAAATGCAAAAATGTGTAAGAAAATCCACAGAGGTTTGTGTCTGTGTGTGTGCATCACTGGGCTTTATTTTGGTGTGCAATGGCATTCAGGAAAGAGGATTATACTGCACAGTGTGAGGTGACAGTGGAGGGTGTGTATATTAGAGTTGCGTTTTTTTTTGTTCTCAGCTACAGAATTTGTGTGAGAGAGAGAGAGAGAGAGAGAAAGAAAGGAGACAAGCTTTGTCTGCCTGAGAGTAAACGAACTGAAACGAACTGTCTGTCTCAATCAGTAGGTCTGTGAGTCTCTGATAAAGATGAAACACACACTATAGATCCCTATAAGACGATTTGTGTGTCTATCAGGAGTTGTTTGCCAACATAGTCTCACGACAATTTGCAAGTATTTTACGATTTGATGAGCTGGTTGCAAATTCATATGAATCTGTATAATCTCATTTGTACATTTTTGTACTGCTCAAGCCCCCCTGATGGTTAAGTTTAGGGATGGACCTTCACAATGAAGTTTAACAACAAATCATTCATTTTCGTCAGATTGTACGAATTGATAAGAAATTGCCAACTCATGCAATACTTATGTATTCTCATGAGATGTAGAATGAAGATCACTCCTTGCTTTCTCCTTTGAGGCAAGGGAGTCAGCGATCATAAAACACAAGAGGAAGCAGTGCCTCCAAGTCACCATGGTTATCATGTTTATCTGATAAAGCCCCTACCATGATCACAAATAGTCCACATATCCTGAATGTGTCAAACTAGTGAAAACAGAACAAACAACTCACCCATCACTTTCACATCATTATTACCCATCAACCTTCTGTCACATCTAAATAAAAAAAACATGATGGTCCGTATGTGGTGCCATTTTAACCATTTTACAGTTTGTGATGTATTTATGTTTTTATTTAACACTTGTAAATCTAGCAAATTTCTCTTTCAATTTACTTTAAAGGGTGTACTATCATGGGGTCAGTATTTAGCAAGGATGCACTAAATTGATCAAAAGTAACAGTAACAGTATTTCAAATACTGTAAATGCTGTTCTTTTGAATCAAAGACAGTATCACGGTATCAAAGTTTTCCACAAAAAATATTAAGCAGCACTGTTTTCAACATTGAGAATAAATACTAAAAAAAATGTTTTGTCTTGAGCATTACCATATTAGAATGATTTCTGAAGGATCATGTGACACTGAAGACTGGAGTAATGACTGTTGAAAAATTCAGCTTTGCCAGCAGAGGAATAAATGACATTTTAAAATATATCAAAATACAAAACAGTTATTTGAATTTGTAATAATATTTCACAATATTACTATTCTTACCGTACTGTTGATCGAAATAAATGCAGCCTTGGTGAGCATTAGAAGTTTCTTTGAAAAAGAATGTGACCATTTTGCCGGTCACCTAGAACAAACAAAAACTAATAGCGCATATTACACAGACTCAAAACAGATACAGCTTTCTGCTCTGTTTCTGAAACACACCAATACCCTATGGCTCACTGTTCATGCATACAGCACAATCCAGAAAATAGCACTATAAAGACAGCAATACTGAAAATCTCCTGATAAATATATTCTTTTCTTATGTTATGTGACTACATTTGTCACCACCAACAGACAACATAACCCGAGGAACAGGAGCAGCACATTCTGAGGATTAAAGCTGTGAGATGAGGGAATAAAGTGGGAGACATTAGACAGACACTCATAATGGTAGAGTTGATGATGCTTAGCAGTAATGATGACGCTGAAGTAGGAGTGGCAAGACCACAGGGCTCGACACTTACTCCCAACTGTGTAATTATACAATGTACAGAGCAACACCGCAGCTCATTTACAAAGGCTGACTGCTCAAAACTAGATGAGGAGCAAATTAATAACCCGTGACTCCGGCAGCAGCGGGGTACAATAACATCCCAACTGCGAGGTGACTAAACATAGTTGAATCATTTTAAAGGAGACGGAGGTCAGAAATTATGTGGCCAACTGTCCTGATCAGCCACTTGCATCCGTTACCATATCCTTTAGTTATTTTCACTTTCTTTCAAGGATGAAAATTCTATGTTGTTCCAAACATGCATGGCTTTCTCTTTTTCCACTGAACGCAAAAGGAGTTTGCCTGAAGTTCATAACTTCCATACAATGAAATGGACCAGAGGTTGTCAAACTCCAAAAGGACAAAGAAGCAACATAAAAGGATCATAAAAATAGTCTATATAATTTGCACACTTCATTCCAAGTATTTTGAAGCCATTTGATAAGTTTGTGTGAGGAAGACAGAGAAATTTAGGTTAAAAAAAAAAATCATGCATGACAGCCGTGGTCACTATTAGCTTTCACTGTATGGAAAAGAGCAGCCTGGATGTTCTGCTACAAACAGCCACTTTTTAAACACAATTGTGATTCATTTTCTATTTTTTATTCTAAGAATTTTTTTAAGAGTTTTGAAGATTATAACTATTATATTTTTTTGTGGAACCTGCACTAAAAAGACAAATATGTAACCATTGCATCAGTTTTTGTAGCTGTGATGACAAACAACTGCATATCTTTGTTTTCAATCTGAAGAATAAAACTCTGTAAAAAGCCTAATGAACTGTCTTTATGTTACATGTAATGTGAGAGTTGCAATCAATGAAATACAACAAATTCGGCAATATACCTTTAAATTTCAGAACTCACAACCATTTCTTATTAGATCCTGAGGATAATTCTCAAAAACATTCACCTTTCTATCTTACTTTTACATTCTTACAGTTTTCATAATCAGTATTTTTCACCCACTTGTGTTTAAGTAATTAAACTACTATGATAGCCCTAGTAAAAAAAAAAAAAGTAATATATTCATTTCATACTAAGTTTAGTTCAAATCTATTAACATATTTACTGACATATCGCTTGAGACTTACTGATATAAAAATTATAATTAAACTTTATTTGGAGTATTACTTGTGCACAATGCATATTTCTTAATATTAAGCCTAAAATGTGTTTTAATGTCACTATTGATGAGGATTGTATGATCTCTGAATAATAGCAGTCTTTAAATGCAAGATATTTAAAGTGTACCTGAAGTATACTTGAAATAGTTCCACTTTAGCAGAATCAAATATACTTAGTATATCTTTAGTTTGACTCCAGCACTACTTCCACACAATTGAAGAGCATCAAGTACAAAATTAGTTGTTCCGGTTTAGTATACCAAAAGTACAATTGCAGGGGATTATTATTAAGTGCATAAATATTTAAATGTATTTGCTGTATACTCAGCATGAAATAAATGTATTTCACTTATTTTTCACAAGCGAGCTACTCGATAAATCAATAACACTTTACAATATGGTTCCATTTGTTCATTTTGACATGAACTAACAATGATACTTCTAAAGCTACAATATACTTCCAAAGCGTTTATTAATCTTCATGTTCATTTCAACAATTACTAAAATCAAAAGTTGTATCTGTTAATATTATTTAATGGATTTGAGCTAACAATGATATTTTGTACTTTTATTAACTAACAACGCTGACTAATGGGACCTTATTGTAGTGTTACCAGTAAATCTTATTCTTGTTATGAAGAACTGGGCTATTAACTCCAGTGTGTGACTTATTATTGAGGATTGCTCCAATAGTGAGCACTAGAGGACAGCAGTGAGACGGCAGTGGGATTGGGATGAGTAAATTTACCCAGGGAGATTTCTGAGGCACTATTGTTCATGAATGTTTAATGTGTTTCTTCTCTGTGTTTTAATAATAACTGTTAATTAAAATCACACTGAGGAAGTACACTCCTGCTGCTGCTGTTGTTTTAACATATGTTTTACATCTATTTGTCATCTTAGCTGCCTGACAATGAACATTTGATATATTTTAGGATTTTCAATGCATGATTAATGATATGAATAATTAATATTTTCCTGTGGATGTTATTTTTTTTTCTCTTTCAAAGATAATTAATTTCCTACTTGGCACTTTCTTTTTCTTGTTTTATTTTAGAAATTTACTTCACGAAACAGCGAAAAGCAGCCAGATCTCCAGCTGTACGTGTGACCTGACTGGACTGACGCCATGTTTTGGACGCTCCTCCTGGCTTTGATCCTGCTGCTGTTGCTCCAGGCACAGCTGCTTGTTTGTCTACATGAACTCCGAGCCTCTCTGACCTCAGTGACTTCAGCGACCCCTTCTGGAACTTCCAATGCCTCGGCTTTGCAACGCCTGCCAGGAGCCATAATCATCGGGGTGCGCAAAGGAGGCACCAGGGCCCTGCTGGAGATGCTCAACCTCCATCCAGATGTGGACGTAGCCAAGAACGAGATCCACTACTTCAACCTGGATGAAAATTTTCGGAAGGGTCTGGACTGGTATCGCGCCCAGATGCCCGTCACTCTCCCTGGGCAGCTGACAGTGGAAAAGACCCCTGGCTACTTCACAGCACCACTGGCCCCAAAGAGGATACGGGCCACGAATCCAGCTGTGAAACTGCTGCTGATCGTTCGTGACCCTGCAGAGAGACTTGTATCAGACTACACACAAGTCCTCCATAACCGAATTCAGCAAAACAAGCCATACCAACCACTCGAAGAGCTGCTGCTGTCTCAAGGACACATCAATCCCAAATACAAGGCCCTTCTGAGGAGCTTTTACTACCAGCACCTTGCCAGATGGTTGGAGCTTTTTCCCAGAGAGCAGATGCACATTGTGGATGGAGAGGCACTTATTAGGAATCCGTTCCCTGAGCTGCAGAAGGCGGAGACGTTTTTGGAAATTCCACCTCAGATAAAGCCAGACAATTTCTACTTTAACGTCACTAAGGGCTTTTATTGTATGCTGTCTGCGGGACACGACAAGTGCCTGGATGAGTCTAAAGGAAGACCCCATGCTCCGCTTAGCAACGAGGCTTTCCAGAAGCTTTGCCGCTACCTGCGGGTTCCCAATCAAATCTTTTTCAGAATGGTGGGACAGAGGTTTGACTGGTGCTAAAAGACAGATGAAAAATGATTGACAGCTCTTATAGAGACTGAGAATTAATGGGATTTAAACTACTATTGGAAACCCATTTTGTGAAAATGTTCTAATATTGTCAAAGGAATGTGGCAGCAACCAGTTTGCAAGAGGGCTAAGCAAAGAGACTAGCGCCAAACATGGTTCTGAACACTGATACACTTACAGTTTGTCATCTGTGGAAAATAGAATAGATCTGCAGGACTGCTTTAAAAAAAAACTCTTTAACTCCAAAAGGCTCAGTTCAAACAGACTACTGATATGGAGGAAATGAGACTGAAAAGATTGGAAATGTCCAAGGTACTGAAAACTGAACGTGAAAACTCCAAGAATTGCATATAATAAGAAAAATAAAAACTCAAATGTTACTTCCCGTGGTACTTGAAGCTTTTAACAAAAATAAGCCTACTGCTTTGTCAGCTGTAATTATTGTGGTCTAATCATTTAATTCATGTTTAATATACTAATTTGTACTTGAATATTTTATTTTCGTTTCTGAATAGAAATGTCTATTTTTTTAATTAATTGGTTCTTTAAATTAATGAGATATTTCATAATGTCATAAGTTAATGCACTACAAAATTCTGTTTTCTATTCAATAAACATATGTACATAAAACATCTCACATCTATTTATCTAAGACACTGACAATATTTGACATTTTCAACACATTGATCAATAACAAAATTGTCATATCTGTGCCTATATTCGCTAATGTCTGTATTACTTTATGCTGTCTTTAAAGGGGTCATATGATGCTGCTAAAAAGAACAGTATTTGGCGTTATGCAAATCTTCCACATAGTGACGTAGACATGTGGGGGCGTGTTAGAACGAGCCGTTTTAGGTAGGTGTGGCTGACTCTTAACTTTTATAAAGAATATCTCTTTGGATTTGAGACTTTAGTCTTTGCAACTTTACAGATCTTCTTTATGCACCAAGAGCTTGTAACACTTCAAAGAGAAAGGAAAAATTGAAATCGCATCATATGACCCCTTTAAATGTTTCTAATATGTCAGGAGGCCTTTTGACAATTTGTTTATCTGCCTCTGGCTGTTGTTAGGCTACTGGTATACCTACAATCCACATCTCATTTGAGTGTTTATGATTTTAAACATACAGATTTTTAAATGTATTCACTTCTTTACGGGTAAAACATTTAAATGAGAAAAAAACCTTTTAGGAAGTTAACTTACGTCTACATTTTCTGTCACTATACGCTCTATGGTCAATATAAGATAAACCGCAAATGAAAAATATTTACAGACAGCTTTCATATGTTAGAAAAAGAAGTTGCTCGTGGCATGCAACTTACATTAGTACGTCGTAAAGGGAATTTTGCCAGTTGAATCTCTTGTGGTGTAAACAAGCAGGTAAGGATCCTGTAGGTGTCGTTTATACGCATGTCCGGTAGTGTTTCACCTGATATTTATAACCGAGGAGTGAAAAGCAGCAGTCAGGTGTTTTGATTTTAAAATATAACATCTTGTGATATAATGCGTCACACAACGTTAATACAAATTAGAAATAAACTAAGTGTTTTTTTTCTGCTTAAAACACTTTCACGTCTACAGAAATGAATAGTTTGAATGTTTACAACTATTAAACGCCTAAAAAAAAAAATCAATTTTACTCTAGATAAGGTAGGTCGTCCCTCATCGTGCAACCATCTTGGCCATTATTTTGAGATCACATGACCAGCCCACGGAGGCCATGCATTAGTGAAAGATGCATTTAATGACAAATTGTAACATAAATTATAAAGATGTGCATTTAGCATGTTCATTATATATTATTTATTATATACATAATATATTATTTAGAGAAGTAAATGAAAACATATGCTAAAAATATTGAACGTAATGAAAAGGAGACATCGAGACACCGACTAACATACAAGGTTAAACTGTCATCTGATTTCTACAAGGCCTATTATAAATACAATACATTATTTTAAATAAATTATATTTTTGCAAAAGGTACCATTAATGTAAAATTCTAAATCATATAGTATATGTAAATGTGTGAATTTTACAGCTTTTTTTACCCTAACTTAATAACGACAGATAAATCAAACAGAAATTTAGAGCTAAATAGCTCTATTAGCCTAACGTTACATGAATTATATGTAAAGTTATATTGTTGGTAATTGTCATAATAGCTGTAGACTATACATTCTGCTCAGTTAGCCTGTAGGTTATGATGAATAATGAAGGTGTGTAAAATGTATAATCAAGGAAATTATTAATCTTAAAAATTAAAAATTCTGATTAATTATATATTACATTACTTAACGGTTTTTAATTAATTTTTTTTTTTTTAATTTCGAAGTATGATTTTGCGAAACTACGAAATTAATAAATTACTGTTGACAATCTGCTTTTAACAGACAAAATCCATAAATGTCCATCCGTCCATCCACCTATCAATCTATCTGTCTCTCTTCAAAACTTTCCATTCTCTCCTCTGTCCCCCTCCACCACCTCCTACCACTTCTATAACAGCTGATAATTTCGCCACATTCTTCACAGACAAAACCAGAACAATCAGTAGTCAATTCTCAGCCCCACACACACAGGACTTCAAACCAACCACACCCACTGCAAAAACTCCCATCTTCTCCTTCTGTCCCCTCACTGAGGCAGAAGTATCAAAACTTCTGCTCTCCAGCCATCCTACAACATGCCCTATAGATCCAATCCCCTCGCCCCTCCTCCACGCAATCTCTCCTACACTTTTACCACCACTCACACATATCAACACATCTCTTCTCACAGGCAACTTCCCCACTGCATTCAGGCAGGCTCGGGTAACTTCTCAGTACTGGCCACTAGATGGCGCTCCGCCCGCTCTCTCAGCGCACGCATGCGCAGTCGCTCCCTTTCCCGTCCCAATAACAATCATTGAAAACGAACAGCAACCCCCGAAGATTGTTACTTCATCAGGCCTTTATTTTCAACAAATCGAGCCAACCATGACAGAATTACGCCACCGAGGAGCGACGGATAAAGAACTGCAGCATCAGAACTCGAAGGATAAGGTAACGAATAAAGAAAGATATGGAGAGATGCATGTTGTTGTTACGGCTATCATTTGAGCTACATGCTGTCATACATGAAGAGAGAGAAAACAATCGATTACAGGTCGTTGTGTTTCTGGATATCGCCAGCAAGTGTCCTGTCACAGCACGAAAGCAGCTTTTAATGCTCTGGTTTGATAAATGATTGTATTTTCTAGCGTTCATGAGTGTGTAATATAGCAGAGTAACGTACAGCTAGAGGAGAGTCTGAGCATCATCAGGGGTCTGACGTTGTTCTTATGTACTGAAGGTTTCCTCAGTGTGGAAAACAAAACAAAACACTATATAAGGCCTTATTGTATTTCTCGCAGTTACTGAAATAAAGTTAAGTGGCACGAACAATCCCTGCTCTGTTCAGCTCAGGACAGTGAGGTGAAACTCTTAAGGACGAGCTCTGCTTTCAGCAGAGTTTGAGGATTTCTGGAGTGCATGGACTGATCTTCATGCTGTGTAGATATAAAGATAGAAAACATGGAGACTGAGAGAGACTTGGGCGGATGGGTGAGTCAACATTCATGTGTCAAGTGTCTGGACCTGTAGGCATGGGCTTAACCTTTACAGCAAGATCACGGTATATAAACAAGACTCATTTGAATGACTTATTCTACGTTAATAGCAAATATTTGCGGATACTTTACAAATTCGTGCTCTTTTGTATTTATCCACGTTTTTTGGGGGGATATAAAGAGGCAGCTTTTATCAGTAGGATGTGATAATGTTATTGAAAGGACTACAGTAAATAATTCTTGGGTAAACTGTCTTACGTGCAGCCTTTATCTGTAAACATACATGGTCAATAGTTTCTGACCATTTTCTTTGGTCATTCGGTTTGGGCGGTTCACCATATGACTTCCTTCTGCATGCTATGTTGTATTTTTGTTCTGAATTTATCGCAAAAGAAGAAACTTCAGCCTCTTCTATCCGTAGTGCTGTCAAAATGCTGGAGTGATGAAAGAATAACCCAAGCGTGTGTAAGTGTAGCTATGCTTGACAGTGTCCACATTGTGCTAAATAGATTCATTTTTCATATGAAACACAAAGACCTAATACTTGATCATGCAAATGAAAAACCTTGTGCTGCCTTCATTCGCATATCAGCGCTCAGGCAAATGAACTGAATGTGGTCATGTTCTGACTCTAACCTTTTTCTTTTTTTTTTTGTCTAGTGTCTGTATATTTGGTATTTAATGTCAGAATGAAAGTTTGCAACTAATTTTGCTTCTATAATCTGACATATTTCAGAGCAAAATATAATTTTGAGTATAGGTTTTGTTTTTGTGCATTGCGAATTGATTGAATCATTCAAGCAAGTCATTACATATCAGATTTTTATTTCCTGCTTCTCAGATTTTTCTTCTGAAAAAAAAAAAACTACATTGATTTTGTGTGTGTCCTCTAGAGTTACACTGCATGGCCAAAAGTATGTGGACACCTCACCCATATGTGCTTGTTTTCAAAACCATTGGTGTTAATATTTAATTTTTTTGCTGTAACAGCTTCCCTCTTGTCAGTTGTTGTTTCGGTCCATCTCAAAGGCGTTCAGGTCTGTTCTTCGTGCAGGCTAGTCAAATTCTTTTACATTTACGTTTGTTCATTTAGCACATACTTTTATCTAACGGGACTTTTAAATGAGAAATACAACAATTTATTCACCAGAGAGAGCCAATAACACAATACAAAGTTTCAAACATTGTCCAGAATTGTAGAAGCTACAAGAAGGAGGGATATAGCAGGATGCAGTTAAGTGCTCACAGAAGAGATGAGTTTTGAATATTGTCAGGGTCTCGTCTGTCCAGATAGGGTTAGGGTTAGGGTTAGGTCAGGGGTGTCCAAACATGGTCCTGGAGGGCCGCTGTCCTGCAGAGTTTAGCTCCAACTTGCCTTCACACACCTGCCTGGAAGTTTTTAGTATGACTAGTAAGACCTTGATTAGCTAGTTCGGGTGTGTTTAATTGGAGTTGGAGCTAAACCAAAGCCACTGGAAGGCAAGCCTGCAACCTTTAGCCTAAAAAAAAAGCAAAATGGCTAATGCTATTGCTAACATTCCAGCCTTGACGTCATTGAATTTCAGACAGAGTTGTGCAACAGTCAATTGCTGTGTACAGATACTATAGAAATTAATAAGTGCCATAAACTAAATCCTACCTCTCGCAGAAAGTCCAAGATTTCTCTATATTCCAACTCTGTTGGTGGTACGCAGGGAAGGAGACCAGAGGCCGTTTTTTTAATGGATGTCAGTGGAGAAGAGGCTTCACTACGCTGAATAAACAGTTTTATTGAGGTAACAGCTTATCATTTAATGAATCGACAGCCTATCGGCTAATCTTGTCATTAAAGGAGTAGTTCACGTCCAGAATGACAATCACCCTCCACTTGTTCCAAACCTGTATGAGTTTCTTTCATCTGTTGAACACAGAAGAAGATATTTTGAAAAATATTGGTATCCGAATAGTTGATGGGCACCATTGACTTCCATAGTATTTTTTTTCCTACTATGGAAGTCAGTGGTGCCCATCAACTGTTCAGATACTAACATTTTTCAAAATATATTCTTTTGTGTTCAACAGAAGAAAGAAACTCATACAGGTTTGGAACAAGTGGAGGGTGAGTAAATGATGACAGAATTTTCATTCTGGAAGTGAACTACTCCTTTAAACAATGGTTTTGGATTGAACTATTTTTAGAGTTTACACCGAAAAAAATTCCATTTTATAAGAGGAATCATGGACTTTTTGTGACAGGTAGGATTTAGTTTATGGCACTTCTCATTCATTCCTATAGTATCCATAAACAGCGACTGTCACACAACTCTGTTTGAAATTCAGTGACGTCAAGGCTGTAATGTGATTGGTTATCAAGGCACACATGATCCAAGTTGATTGTTATGCTTTTTACAATGGTAAGTAATATAGACCCTCATATCTCCCAATAATAAGACAATCTCTGGCTAAACTTTGCAGGACAATGGCCCTCTAGGCGCTGGATTGGACACCCCTGGGTTAGGTAAATTCTTGTACCGGATAAGGTTAGGTAAATTACAGCTGACCAAATAATTTTACTGGTGGCATACTATGACACTGGCACGTTGAAAGTCACTGAGCTCCTTAGTACAGCCCATTGTACTGTAAATGTTTGTCTAGGGAGGTTGTGCGTCTGTATGCCTGATTTCACGCACCTGTTAGACTAGAATGTAGCTGAAATTAGAAGGGGGATATACAGGTGTTATATGTGTATAGAAGTTAAACTGCATTTTTACTGACAAACGGCAGACCAGAAATCGTTAATTTTCAAAGAAGAGTGTGGGAGCTGTGTGGAGTTCAGATTTCATTAAAAAAGTAAATTGAGACGGTATGTGACAGCCAGAACAAATGTGGTGTATTCTAATAAAACCTATGAAATTCATAAAGAACAAAGTGAGAATTAGGAATATTTTTCCATGCACTAAAATGTTATTCTTTAAACACACTTTCTGTAAATTGGGTGGTTATGAATAATTATTTGTGAAATAGTTATTTTATAATAAAATAATTATTTAAGTTGACTATCGCTAGAAAACCTCGTATGTTTTTCTTTCAGATGTATTGGCAGTCAGTTGTTCTATGTGGATATACAGTGTTGGGAAG